AGGGGCTTGGACTTCCAGCATGCATGTGTGAGCGTGTTAGATAGGAGTGAATGAAGACGAATGGTTTTTGTGACCTGACGAGCTGTTGGAGTGTGAGCAGGGTAATATTTTGTGAAGGGATTCAGAGGAAACCGGTTAGCCGGACTTGAGTTCTGGAAAAAGGAAGTACAATGTCTACACTTTAAAGGAGGAGTCTGGGATATTGACAGTTTGGAGGAACTTCTAAACTGTCGTATCTGAGCGCCTCTGCAAAGACAGTGATTATGTGTGAGTGTTGAATGATGATGAAAGTATTTTTCTTTTTGGGGATTTTCTTTCTTTTTGAGTCACCCTGCCTCGGTGGGAGACGACCAACGTGTTGACAAAAAATATATATGTATATATATAATTTATTTATTTATTTATTTATTTATGGGGAAGAGATACACATGTAAGAGTCATACAGGATGACTGGGTAATGTGAGGCATTATATTTTATCAGGGGAAGGAGAGGGGTTGCTGCAGTTTCCTGGATCAAGATCCCTTCAACAGTATTAAGACACATTCCTCTTCAAATAAGCTGAGTTTGGACATTTGCTACCTTGTCTCCGATATATTGGCCCGATAATGTGACTGTAGCAGCCAGAGATCTGTTTTTTTTTAGGTGTCAGAGTTCTATAGTCCTGTGCATAACAGTTGTATAACGTACTATATGTATAACGTACTATATGTATTTCAGGTTATACACACGGACGTGGTTGGCCATCATGGTAGTTGCCACGTGGATTGGTGCCTTTGGAGCGCTGGTGCCTACGTTGCTGGAATTCTGGGGCACCTTTGGTCTAGACCCAGCGATAGGTTCTTGCACCATCTTGCCAGACAGAGACGGCAACTCGCCCAAGGAGTTCCTCTTCGTCTTCGCCTTCGTGTTGCCGTGCGTAGCGATCTGCGTGTGCTACGCCCGCATCTTCTGCATCGTTCACCGAGCGGACATGAAAAGCCACAGTCACGGCCAAAAGTTTCTCAAGGTGAACGGAAAGCGGCACAAGAACGTGCTTCGCCATGCACTGCTGATCCTCCTACCTTGCAGACCTTGCATGCAACGCCACTCCACGATCGTCTGCAGGTGGAGACGCTCGTCAAACTCTCCACTAGCAGCAACTCCGTTAAAGTGGAGATCGTTGAGCCGAGGGAGGAAGCTCAGAAAGACGAAGAGATAAAGAAAGAGGAGAACGGACGGGGTGAACACGAGAACCAGCCAGCAACACACACACCTTCGCCAGAAGCAACACCCACTGGTGCTGCCAAGGGCGACAATTCATTTCTCAAGACGGAGGCGAACGGCTTTTCCGGTCACTCTTCCGACGAAGGTGTTGGAGTGTCGGCGGCAGCTTGTTCCCCCATCAGAATATGTCCTCCCAGCGCTCCTGAATCCCCAGCGTCAGTCAAGTCAGAAATGAACACCAACAGCGGGCTAGAGAGACGGGCGTCCACGATCTCTGGCAAGGGTGGTACTTTCTCCCACCTTCGGGGCACCTTCAGGAGAACGCGAGCCGGCTCATTCATCGCCAGACAGCCCACACTCAGTGCCAAGGATCGCCGTCTCCTCAAGATGATCCTGGTCATTTTTCTGTCCTTCGTAGCGTGCTACCTGCCCATCACGCTGGTCAAGACATTCAGTAAGGATGACAACCCCGTGCTAAACATCCTAGGCTTGCTACTCATCTACATGACTACGTGTATTAACCCTATCATCTACGTGGTCATGTCGTCAGAGTACCGCCAGGCTTACGTCAGCCTCCTCACCTGCAAGCGTGACCACGACCCAGCTAACCGATCCATTACTAAAATTTCCTGAAAGCGGCCTAAGCCGCCGTTGTTTGCAACACGGCTACAAACAACGTCGAAGTGCGTTATACAAGTGTCGCCTGCCGAGTGACAAATTATAACTGACTCCTTAAAACAACCAACAGTGTATAAAAAAAAAACATTAAAACACTCCATAACTGTACATATAAACAAAAGATGTTTTTTTACGGAACTTTTAAATACTTCGTATTGTAGCTGTTAAAACAAGTGTTAAATGCCAGGGTCCAACATATTGTTTTTGATAAACCAGCTCTCCTGCCTTTCTGTACAGATTTACGTGTTGTGTCGACTCGTCTCCACAAAGGTGACACATGCTCACAACTGTTATGATGTTTACATTCATTCTATGTCGTTATATCTCTGGTTATCTCTCTGATCACCTCGAATTCATATTTCTCCTTTGAATGTGATTTTTTCTGCTGTTGTCTCCTCCCTTAATGCCTCCAATATCACCAGAGTTTTCTGACAGCCAGGAAAGGTACGGTGTTATTTTCAGGAAAGGTACATTGTTACTGTCAGGAAAGGTACGGTCTTGTTGTCAGGAAAAGTACGGTGTTAACGTCAGGAAAAGCACTGTGTTATCGTCAGAAAAGGTACGGTGTTATCGTCAGTAAAAGTACTGTGTTATCGTCAGAAAAGGTACGGTGTTATCGACAGGAAAAGAACGGTGTTATCGTCAGGAAAGATACGGTGTTATCGTCAGGAAAAGAACGGTGTTATCGTCAGGAAATGTACGGTATTATCGCCAGCCAGGAAAGGTACGGTGCTACCATCAGGAAAGGCATGGTGTTATCGTCAGGAAACGTACGGTGTTATCGTCTGGAAAGGTACAGTGTTATTGTCGGGAAAAGTACGGTGTTATCGTCTGGAAAGGTACGGTGTTATCGCCAGCCAGAAAGGCAAGTGTTATCGCCAGGACAGGTGCGCCTTGGATAAGAGATGGTATGAAATATCGACACTTATGTAATAAGACACATGTGCAGTATTAGAATATTTTGCTGAGGAAATGTTTCACCACGACTGGCTTGTTTCGTCACCCAAGAAGACCCGATAAAAGCTCTGAGTGGCGAATCGTTTTTTTCGGACCTTGTACATGTGCCTTATTGCACAATGCACGCTTTGTCGCCACAGTACATGACTCACGACGACACATGCTGTCGTCTTAATGCGTTATACGATACTTATCGTCACAGAACACGACATACAACACTCGATAACTTCATAATCTCAGCTACCAGCGACAGGCAGAAGAATGACTTGGGGAAAAACCTCTTACGGCGCAACGAGTCCTGTCAGAATAGATTCTCGACCTTACTATTTGGTGTTTACATGCTCATCTGCACCTAGTGCTACTAGACACCACTTGGTGCTATTGGAATGCCACTTGGTGCTATTAACCAACATTTAGCGATGCTAAGGAAGCATCGGCTTTTATTCTGAATCTTGTTATTCATGTCTCATGTAATTCTTGTTGTATTATTCAACACCTTCTACTAGTGTTCGGTGTATCCAGATATTTGCAAGTTACCCTTGCAGAGACTATCAAAATTTAGTTTGTTTAGGGGGTGGGAGGTTGTAACAATGCTGCTCGATGCTAGTTTCATTAGTGTGACGATTAAATTGAAAAACTATAAATATATATACATATTTTTTCCTAAAAAAAATTTAGTAGACATGTTTAGACGTATATCGTGACAGCAGAAGCCAAATTACGTCGCCTTTCTTGTGCCTTTTAAAAATTACGTACTGATAGAAATACCTTGAGTTGCTCTTCTCAACATTGTCAACACTGTAACCATCCATTCCCGTCAACTTCTCAACTCTCTTTATAAGAAACAATATGCGATTTTTTTTTTGGGGGGCTGAGATATTTCGCCCACCAGGGGACTCTATCAATCGATGAAAGTCCCTAGTGGACTTGGCGGTATATAAGTCCTCTGACACAGCTTCTCAACTGTCTTACTTTCAGATAAGATAAGAGAAATACTATTGTAGTGTCGGAGGGAGAAAGAAATTAGAAAATCCTAGAGCACTTTTCTTTTTCTACCATTACCGATACCAAGTGATTCCTGGATAACTAGGAATCACTCACGGAAACTCCCAAAAAACTCGGGGTTGTGTTGTTATTTATCAACACAGTATAAATGAAGGGAATATAGTCGCTGAAGAAAAATGTAGAGAGAAGACATAATGATTTCTTCCCGTAAACGTAGAGTCTTGACATGACTCACGAAATCGTAATAACACGATTGCAAACAAACCATACCACGGGCGGGGATAGAACTCGCGATCATAAAACTCCAGACCGACGCGTTAGCCACTGGGCCAGCTGGCTACAGTGACCCAGCTGGTCCAGTGGTATGGTTTGCTCTGGAGAATTTGTTTTGGTGCTCTAGGCACTTTGCATTTCAATCAACACATCATCAGGAGCTTGCAATGTTGCAAAAAGTGGGAGGAGGAGGAGGAGGAGGAGGTGCAAACAAAGACGATCACAGGAAGCGCCCATGACCTACCTACCTGTAGGGTATTCCGGGGATCAACGCCCCCTCGGCCCGGTCCATGACTGGCCTCCCAGTGGATCAGGGCCTGATCAACGAAGCTGTTACTCCAACGTATGAACCACAGCCCGGCTGATCCAGCACCGACTTTAGGTATCTGTCCAGCCCCCTGATGTGTTAGTTGCAACACGAAAGGCCTAAAGCTATCATTCAACTCCCCCCCGTTCCGTGGTTGTTTTGCGTACTGGAGAATGAGGTCGTCCAAGAGACCATAACCTCAGCTGTCATGATCATAGGGAGAAACACCTACGGATGTGTGTGACGGGGGAGAAACGTCACAAACGTGAAGAACAAGACTTTAACCGGGGCGACGTTTCGCTCTTAAGTAGATCTTTATCAAGACTTGATGAAGCTCTGCCGAAAGCGAAATACTTTCATTGTCCTGTAAAGTCCGTCGGGTCTTCCAGCATTGTTTGTTAACAAATAAATTAACAAAAACATGGTTAGATAGACATTCATTTGTATGTTGACTCATGTTGACTCATGTTGACCTGGTGTGTGTGTGTATGTGTTAGTTACCATTTTGTCCTAGGCACATGTCGATTAGACACTGTGTGTGTGTGGTGTGTGTGTGGGGTGTATGTGTGTGGTGTGGGGTGTGTGTGCATGTGTGTGTGTGTGTTGTTACCATTTTTCCTAGCACATTGTCGATTAGACACTAGCCTTTGTGTGTGTTGTGTGTGTGTGTTGTGTGTGTGTGTGTGTGTGTGTGTGTGTGATAGTTACCATTTGTACGTGTGTTGTGTGTGTGTGTGTGTGTGTGTGTGTGTGTGTGTGTGTGTGTGTGTGTGTGTGTGTGGGGTGTGGTTAGTTAACCATTTTGTACGGTGTGTGTGTGTGTTTGTGGTGTGGTGTGTGTGTGTGTGTGTTGTTGTCTGTGTGTGTGTGTGTGTGTGTGTAAGTAACCCAATTTAACTTTGAAAGAACAAACGTAAATAACAAGTAAAAACAAACGAAAAAAATATATATATTGATCTACTCTTACGATCTATTGAAAAGAATAAATATTTTAGGAGAATATGGGTCTACTGTAAAGCCAAGAATATAGGTCTATGAATATACATTGGAGATATGTTAGTTACAGTGGTAACTAACACTGTTATTGATTGGAAACAACGTTATTGGATGGTAACAATGTTACTGGAGGGTAACAATGTTACTGGAGGGTAACAATGTTATTTAACGTAGATATTGACAGCTGGTGACACTGTAAATACAATAAGTAAGTTATAGTTATATTATTAATTATTATTATTATTATTATGTTATTATTATTATTATTATTATTATTATTATTATTATTATTATTATAGATTTATTGTTTATGTACAACGTAGTCTTAAAAAACGAAACGGTCCGTTTCGAAACAACTAAGCGGCCTCGAAACAACGAAACTGGCCTCGAAACAACTAAACTGGCCTCGAAACAACTAAACTGGCCTCGAAACAACTAAACTGGCCTCGAAACAACAAACTGGCCTCGAAACAACTAAACTGGCCTCGAAACAACGAAACTGGCCTAGAAACAAAAAAAACTGGCCTCGAAACAACGAAACTGGCCTCGAAACAACGAAACTGGCCTAGAAAAAAAAAAAACTGGCCTCGAAACAACGAAACTGGCCTCGAAACAACGAAACTAGCCTCGAAACAAAAAACTGGCCTCGAAATAACTAAACTGGCCTCGAAACAAAGAAACTGGCCTCAGAATAAAAAACTGGCCTCGAAACAACGAAACTGGCCTCGAAGCAACGAAACTGGCCTCGAAAACAACGAAACTGGCCTCGAAACAACAAAAATGGCCTCAATCGAAATCCAACAACGAAAATGGCCTCAAAACAACGAAAGACTAATTCAACGCAACAAACTTTAAAGCAACGCCAGAAAAACACCTCAAAACCCAATATCTCAACGCAGATCTCCAGAGAGTTTACCAAACATAGAGAGAGAGAGAGAGAGAGAGAGAGAGAGAGAGAGAGAGAGAGAGAGAGAGAGAGAGAGAGAGAGAGAAGCTTCAGTGCACCGGTCATGCTATGGCCACTCAGAAGATTGGATCCAGTCTCCGGTAATCAGGTAATCTTCGCAGTTCAAGGTACATTGAGAAGGCGTCAATACGCAGTTCTAAGTATATTTTAATTGCGTAGAGGTGTTCTGTTTTTTGTACGCATCGGCGTAGGGAGCATTTCACCGAGAAACATTTCGTTCCATAAGAGATTAATACTGACAGGGAACAAAAAAGGTACAATACCGTAACTGGAACAATACACAAATAACCTTGACGTAGGAGAGAGGATCTTACGACGACGTAAATGGTCCAAGTCGGACCGAAACGTCGTTGTAAACTCCTCTATGCCTCTATGTGCGGGTTATTTGTGTACTAATACTGACAGAATTTACGTCTAATACTAAGCATTTATTATCAATGGTTGTTATCTGTATACATTCTCATGGAACAAGTTTTAATTTGACAAGGTTTTACAAACGATAAAACAGGTGAAACGGATCTTAAACCAACGAAACGAGTTGCGTTGTACTGGACAGTGTAAACGGGAAGTGACTCTTCCAAGCCAGTGACTACGAAAGTGCCTTAACGACGTTTGTAAACGATGCACCGCAACCCTCCTCAGTGTTTTCTCAAGGAATGATCACTTAAGCGTCAAAGTGCAGCAAAAACAGTTTGCAATAACACCATTAAACATATTTATAGGCGGTGACTAGTAAAGATCCCTCCAGCAGAAGTGCAATTCGCAAATCTGCAAAGTGATTCCATAATTTAGCGTTATATCTGCGCTTTCTTCCAGGGCAGAGGAAAAAATCTTAGACCAGCAAAGAGGAGAATTTCTAGCAATGGAGCGACTGTAGATAAATGGCCTTTAAAATGACTTGTGTCGAAGGGAGATTTTGGCATGGCTCGAGGCTAAGAGGCTTACACTGTTGATTCCACCAGTAACTCGGTCTCCATGACAACAGTTCCATCTATGGATTATATTTTTGTAACGTCAGTGAATATTATGATAATGGAGTCCTTTTTATGGCCTATTGTTATTTTTTTGCTCGAGCATTTTGAGTTTAGAATCAAAAATTTTTCAAAAAAGAATATTAGGGCCCTAGATGGATGTTGAAAATTGTCTATATCGTGTGTGTGTGTGTGTGTGTGTGTGTGTGTGTGTGTGTGTGTGTGTGTGTGTGTGTGTTGTGTGTGAATCTAAGACACAGGCAGAGCCTATGACAGACAAGCAGACAGCTAGACATGAAGAGTACCAGGCATAAAGGAAAGATGAAGAGACAGACAGACAAGCAGACAGGGGAGAGAGAGAGAGAGAGGGATACAAAGAAAAAAAAGGCAAAAGATGGCTGAAACAATGTCAGTAGGTACTGTGTCAGGAGCCCTGACCTCTCCTCTCCACCCACTCTGCCACAACAAACCACCATAAATAACCTTTCTCAGAGGAAACCCTGAGCAAGAGTCCTCTTTAACTCTCTCGTGTTGGGCACTCTTAAAGGAACGAGGCGTAACAATTACTTTAAGAGTGTGGGTTAACAATTACCTTGAGAGTGTGGGTTTATCTCTTTCGTCTTGTCGTTCTGAGAAGGACGAGACTCAAAAGTAACCTTCAAAGTGAGAGGGGAAAGGGGTGAAAATCAGTATTTGGGAGGGGGGTGGGGTGTTCACCTTCACTTGTTATCACAGCTCAAATATCAATACATTCTTTTTAGCTTTTACTGTCAATATGTTACTGGAAATACATTCTTGAATATTCTTGGTGTTTAATTTGCCCTTCTTCCTCCCTGGATCTTCTACTAGTCCTCTACTGGACAAAATTCTATCACTGTTGGTCCTTTACCAGACCACTACAAGTCAACTGGTCCTTTGCCAGACCACTACGAGCCAACTGGTCCTTTGCCAGACCACTACGAGTCAACTGGTCCTTTACCAGACCACTATGAATCAACTGGTCCTTTACCAGACCACTACAAGTCAACTGGTCCTTTACCAGACCACTACGAGTCAACTACTGGACCGCTACTGGTCTCCAGGAGAGTTATGCTAACATTTAGTATCCCTACGAAGTACAGTGTTTATATAAAGCTTTAATTAACAGTAACATATCAGAACATGGGTGTTCAACACAGACTTGGTGGCTTAGCACAAATCTAGTTGATAGTAGATTCTGTAGTCAGTTTCTAATCCCTGATGAGGAAGTAATTTTGAGGTAGTCAGTCCCTCAGCCTTGAAGAAGTGTTCTGAGGGGCTCAATGCAGACTTGGGTTCTTCCTTAAAGTACATCACTCAGAAAATAGCGTATCTACAAGAAGAACTACGAGAACTACTTCACAATCACATTGGAAGGAAAATGAAAATAAAAGGATCTTGTAACACGATTAAAGACGGGACAGTGATCCTCAAAAAAAAAAAAAATGAAAACGAGGCACAGTACCAGAACATGACCAAAACCTGTCAAACAGAACACCACAAAGTAACTTTTGAAGCTTTTCTTGTAGCCGTCCCAGCTTGTTCCTCTCAATAACTTTACAACCTCACCCAGCAAGGACAGGCAGGTCGTCCACGTACACCAGGAGCGAAACTGGTCTAAGGACGTATACCTGTGGGAAAAAACTGCTAGCACTCGTTCATGTCCGTGGCTCTCCAGGACCGTCAGCCTTTGTAGGTTTATACCTAAATGCAAGAACGTGTGTGTGTGTGTGTGTGTGTGTGTGTGTGTCTAGAACAAATCCCAACAGACTGGAAAAAACTTACTTTACCTATTAACTAATACGTCACCGCGAGAAAAAAAAAACACGAAATTCTTCCCGGCATGAAAATATACTTTGAAGGGAATTTGTAATATTAAATTCGTGAAGGGTAAGAAAAAAATATATAATTTACCTACTAAACATATTCAGAATGAACAGTTTGGGCAAAATAAATCTAGGCGAGCAATTGCAAGTTAAACAATAACGATTCAGCCAGACACCCTATTATAAAAATGATCGTAATAGAGTGAAGGAACACTGGTATGTGTCTGGGGAAGTGGATCGTTTTTAAAAGTCTTCTTCCACCATCAATACCTTCTTTTTTAAGGGAAGAGCAGCAGTGCAGCAGAGAAGCAGCAGTGCAGCAGAGAAGCAGCAGTGCAGCAGAGAAGCAGTAGTGCAGCAGAGAAGCAGCAGTGCAGCAGAGAAGCAGCAGTGCAGCAGAGAAGCAGCAGTGCAGCAGAGAAGCAGCAGTGCAGCAGAGAAGCAGCAGTGTTCTACATGCAGTAGGAAGCAGTACCATCGTATTCTTGCCTATTACGGCGGTGTTGAGGCAGCAGTCACAGAAATTGGCATCACCCTGGATGCTCTGGTAGGACCGAGGTGTGTGTGTGTGGCTCTCGCTGGCTTATGGAAACGGGTTAGTGCCAGGCACAACATGCGTGCATTGCCCATCTACAGTGCCACTTCCCTTCACACACGTTCATTTTTGTGACTTTGGTTCATGTTACTCTCCACTACTGTCACTCCTCGCAACTATTCCTGTCTGCCACGACTTCGTTTTAAAACCATTAGTGGTGCCACAACATGCCTCGCCCTGCCACGCTACAGGGCCACCGGTAG